ATCCCGACCAGTGAGCAATTTTTATTCTGTTTCAGTACACATTAAATTGGGATAAATTTATATAATAACATTGTGGTAATGTTCCAGCACCCAGCATTAGTCTCAGCACAAATTCTCAAGTTCAGCCTTTGTCGGCCCTCCCACAATCTCATAATTCTTCCCAGGCGGAGGAGAATTTGTTTGATCAATCAGGCAATAACGAAACGACATTCTCCTATGTTGAGATTACGAATCCAGAAACTGTTGCAGAACTTGTGACACTGGTTCGAGATCTGAAGACTGAATCTCAAAGTAAGTAATTATTTCTACTACTCGTTTGTACTAATTTTTCCTAAACAGTGTCATTGAATAATGAGTACAATCTATGCCGTCTGTGTCCGTAGACTTACAGGCAGTGGTGGTGAAGGAGTTAGTAAAAATTAACGAAACATTGGTCGAGTTGCTTCGTCGAACTTCAACACTTGCTCCACGTGTACCACGCGTGCCCAGCTGGATCATCCAAAACTACCGGTTTGTAATAAAGAGGATTTTTACAAATTGAGTGACTGGCTTAAGCGGGATCAGTCGAACATTGAAGAATTGGTAGGTGAATCATAGGCAATTTATGAATACAACCCTAATTTTATTACTTACATAAGTGTCATTACTTTCAGAGTATTCAACTTGGTTATGTTGGGGGACGAGATTTAGACGATATCATCGCGAGACTGTTATCTGGCCTAATTTCCACAGAATTAGCACAGACCTGCAGTCACAGTGGGAAAGGAAAGAAGTCTGAATTTGGCCTTGTTGGTGTATTTTTGGATCTTGTGTATAGTAAGGGAGCATTTCACTTTTAGTGCCGCTACATCTTACATTCTTAACTCGTACAGTATAAATATATTTATAGGAAGTGTGCGGCATAACTCAGCTGAAGCAAGTACAACTAACGCCACCATCGACGTGAAGATCCGAACTTGGCTGAAAAACCAGAAGGACCCGAGGAAAATTGCCAACAAAACATGTCCAACATCTCGCAACGTTCAAGACAGCGGTCAAGACAACGGTACCGAGTAGCAATTTCTCATGCCTTGCTACAACAAATACGAGAACCAAGACTGGGTGACCGCAATGTAAATAGCTCCATACGTATAAGTAATTGCCCAGATAATAATAACGTAGTTACTAGTAGTAATAGCAGTAATAGTAATAATTTGTCACCACCCCAGACAAATTGTGTCCCAAATGAATTCTCTTGCGACACGTGGGTTAGTAATAATATTTCCCAGGATAATAGAGTTAGTTTAGAAATCGAACCAATTGGTTTTCCAATAGACATAGAGCTGCGTGAATGGACAGTTCGTCATAACATTAAGCACTCAGCTCTCAGGGATTAGTTATCCATTTTAAATAAAACCCACTCATTTAGTTTACCTATTGATCCACGGACTTTGATGAAAACTCCTAGAAAATTGAACATTTCAGTTGTTAGCGGTGGTGATTTTTATTATTTTGGCATTGTCTCCCACCTTGTAATCCACGTCAAATATGGTCTACAACAGACAGCCAAAACAGCAATTTATAATACTTTAAGGGCAGATAGTTCTAACCCAATAATAAGCATAACTGTAGGTATTGACGGTATTCCAATTTCTAAGAGTTCCAATAAGCAGTTTTGGCCAATTCTGGGTATCGTGGATCAATCGTGTGATCGCACGCCTTTTGTAATTGCACTCTACTATGCAGAACATAAGCCGACAAATTTAGATTTGTCACAACCATTTGTGGAAGAATGTAAAGCTTTAGAGCAGGATGGGATTATAATTTCAGGGAAACTATACACTTTTAGAATTTCTAGAATTCTTGCAGATGCACCTGCACGCAGTTACATTAAAGGAATAAAAAATCACAATAGTTATTTTTCCTGTGAAAGGTGTCATGAGGAGGGGGAATGGAATTACGTTGTTGAATACAGAGTTTAGAAAACGAACAAATGAAAATTTTGTACTTCAAACTGACACACAGCATCATAAGGAAATCTCCCCCCTCACAAAATTATGTATAGGTCTTGTTTCTCAAGTTCCGTTGGATTATTTACATTTAGTATGTCTGGGTGTGACAAGGAAACTTTTCCGAATGTGGGTGAAAGGTCGTATTCCTTTTAAACTTCCAGCTGGAAAAATCAGCAATTTCTGAACGCCTATCTAATTTTCGTGAACATTTTCCTTCGGATATTCCAAGAAAACCTCGATCGTTATTGCAAATTGACCATTTTAAGGGTACTGAGTTCCGAACCTTACTACTGTATACAGGAATAGTTGGGTAATGGCACTTCGAGATATTATTAAGCCAAGAGAGTATAGAAATTATTTGAGATTTCATGCAGCAATTTATATTCTTCTGTCGCCAAGAGCTGATAATAGTGAATGGAACCTTCAGGCAGCGGCTTTGTTAAAGAAGTTCGTTAAAGGGTGCATGAATCTATATGGGAACGAATTTATGGTTTACAATGTGCATGGGTTATTGCATATTAACGATGATGCATTATTGTTCGGTAGTTTAGACAATGCGAGTTGCTTTCCTTTTGAGAACTACATGCAGAAAATTAAAATTCTGTTGAGCTCACATAATTTCCAATTAGAACAAGTAGTTAAACGGATTATAGAAATGGATTTGGTACGACAAGATATGAATGCGATACAAAAAATATCTGAGAATAAAAAATTCTCCCCTAAATCTAGCTGTAAGAATGGAAATAACTGCTTCATGCTTAGGTCTGGTGGAATTGTAATTTTACAAAATTAAACTTATAGAAAGAATGATTCTGTCGAATATACATGTCAACAGATTTTAAATCTACACTCTGTCCAATATTATCCCTTCGATAGTTCTAATTTAAAAATTTACTTTTCATCCGGTTTATCAGAACCGGATAATATGGTACTTGAACCAGAAGATTTCTTGTTTAAATATATTAGATTACCTTATAACAGCGAGTTCTTGTTAGTTCCATTGTTACATTCAATAAAAATATAAATATTCATTAACGTGTGCACTGACTTTATATTTTATTAAAAAGCATCATCATAAAGCATATTTTAAGATACATAATTCACTAATCCGAAGAGCATCGGAATGGAGTCGGCTCCCGAATTCGTACTGAGTTCGAAGCCACGATGACGATCAGAATTAGCATTTCGAATTCGTTCCGAGTTCGAGAATTCGTTCCCTACGCAGGCGATTCGAATTCGGATTTCGAATTCGTACCAGGCACAACTAGGGCGACAAATCCGGAGTGCGTTCCGAATTTGGGCGACGACTTTAGAACGAATTCGTATCGAATGCGGAGGCACATTGGGATAATTGTATAAATTTGTGCAAGGCCCCTTCAAAGGGAAGCGTTGTCAAGCTTAGTCTAATTCTGAGCAGGAGACGACGAAATCAGATCAATCTTTATTATTTGAACAAGTTTTCCATGCGAAATCTCTCTGTCAACAGGTGAAGGATTGAGTGTAATCCGTAAGTCGTGCGGATGATTGGGTTTAGTTTGTCCAATGGGTATTGTACTTTGTTATAAACTAGGAATTTTGATAAGATTTTCATACAGAATTTGCATGATCCATCAAAGTAAAACTCGCATTGTCCCGATTGAATCAGGTATGTTTTAGAATGGATGGAAATATAAAAGGGAAATCTATGGAATAAAGCATATGCATGCATGAGATATATTATTAAAATGCATAAATGCGTACATACATCAAAATTTTTTAAATATTACTTTTTTATAAATAATTTTCCTGGGTTGAAATTCACCGATGTATCGAAACTGTAAACACTTAAATGTGCTAAACTGTCTTGATAAGGTATTTGGTTAATTTCGTAACTGGTGTCATAGGGGTATTGTTGACTCGATCAGAGCGAATTTTGCAATTTGTTCATTTTCATATTTTTTTGCAACATGTTTCAACAAAAGGACTGAAGTTGTGACATTGTTCTTCGTATTTTTGTTATTTGATTGCCTGTTTCCGTGAATATTTTCGAACATGTCTTCAAACTGGTATGGTGCCATCGTGTTAAATTTGTATGGTACCCACGTGTTAAATTTGTATGGTACCCTCGTGCTTAAGTTTGTATGGTAACATCGTGTTAAATTCGAATGGTATCCACGTGTTTAGTTCGCATGTACCCAGTGGGTACTACCCACGTGTCAAATTGGTATTCTACCCACATGTTTAACTCGTATTGTACCCTCGTGTTACATAAATATATCCAATGGTACCCTTGTATTTTTGTGCGATTACCCGTTCTGTGCTTCTATCTAAATGCATTACGTTGTCAACTTTTCCGGTTCCCAGATTTTTTTTAAACTCCGGTGTTTATGGGAGTTTAAATCCTGCGTGGTGTACACATACACAAATAGGAAAAAATAGAAGAATTATCATAAATGTGGCACGTATTTTTTTTACTTTATTGTCTATTTATTAGTAAAATATTGACAATTTATGACGTAACAGAATAAAATTTACACTGGGTGTAAAAACCAAGCTATCACCTACCCGGAGTATAGTGTCTTTACGTATATTTAATTGTGCTTTGCTCGATGGAATTAAAGAAAGTGACTTGAGTGAATATACGATTATTTTATCTACTTAAACTGGATTTTATTTCCAACAAATTACTAATTGTCAACACAATTCAGAGCTCTGCACTAACACGAGTTGATTGGCGACTAACTATAACGACAAATTAATCGTGGACATCAATAACAAAGAATTAACAATTCTTACTCTTGATTTCCTACCACGACGACTAAAATCCAAAATGTCTGACTTTGACAACGACTAAAACTCGACTGTGTAGAATTCTTCTACCTACTTACTTACTACGACTTATAACAAAGAACGACGCGCACTCAAAATCCCACTCTGACGTCACCATGGCAACCACCACCACGTCACGGGGCAATCTTACACGCATATTCAACAATTTACAAAAATACATAAAACAATTTCATAAATACATCATTTTACATTTAACACTGGGCTTTTACCACGGATTTTCATGGCGAGTGCTAAATCGCAGGGTTTGATTGTAACTCGACCGGCATGAATGGCACACAAATTGGTGTCTTCCAAAACAGAGACCTGATAAAACTCCCCAATTACTTGAAGAGCCTCCAGAGCAAATTTATTGAATGGATTAGCCGACGATCCAATCGAGGCCAAAATATCCTATAAAATTCAAATAGAGATGTAGTTACATATGTTTGATAAGCAAATTTGTCACGTCTTGACCATAACTGTTCAATTTCATTCATTTGACTAATTATGATTATTGAATTATAGTGAACAAAAATGAATTCCGCGTCATTTGAATGAAAAATACTGAACATTTCCGTCATTCAGATGAGTGAATGAAGGGATTTCTCACTCCTTTCATTTTTCAGCTTATGCTTATTAATATGTACATGCGGTGAAGTAGGAAATGAAGCTGGATGAAGCGAAATGAAATTAATTTAAAAGAGAAAGATTAAATTTGAATGAAAATAAGGAAGAAATCGGGACGACTTGGTTTTGAATGAAAACAAATTATTTGAACAGGTATGTATGGTTTCTAACGAAATTGTCAATATTTACAGAATAACGCAAAATTTCTCACCTTGCAAAGTTTTTCGAAAGGAATCTTGCTAAGTTCCCGCTTCGTTGGAAACTTGTCGGGTTTGCAGGAGAGCCCTTTGGTCGGGTCGGTAACGCCGAGGTGGGCGTGGAACCCTACTCCCAATCCGCGGAATTTCCAATGATGCCGGGCGGGCTTGGGTGATGTTGTGAACGATCGGTTCGTTTCTGATAAATGACCAATGAGATTGTTAACACAGGACTCAAGTACAATTATAAGGGGTTTATTATAATGCACAAATATCAAAATGACCCACAAATAATTGTTATTTAATACTTTAATTGTACTAAACTCACTAGACTTTTACTTCAACAGACAGACAAAAGAGAAGTGAGGCTACACTAGAAAGCTCCACTCCAACTCACGAATTCCACGAGGCGTTAATTACCACTTAAGACATAGATACCTCTCACGACTCTAAAACTAAGAAAGAACCAACATTTCTGACATTACTCCCACCTTTGACCTTAGAAGAAACATGAGAAGGTCAAATCAAACCTTGAACAGAAATTATATACAACAATAAGAAACTATTAGTAGGAATAAACATATTAACAAATGCCCAATCTCTCTGGGACTTTCACTTTCCTACCACTACGAGTAATCACTGCACTATCACTTTCACCAATTTTCTTGACAGTGTCTGGAACAGAAAGATGAATGCGTTGCTGGGTCGAGACATCCAAAGGGAATACACGCTGCACCGGTCGAGTTAACTCTCCATTCTTGGTCTTGAGCTTCACGACTCGAACAATTCCATCCGGTCCAGGACACGTCTCCATGACCTTCGCCAACGGCCACTCCACACGCTTCCTGTTCACAGCTTCCAACAGAACAATGTCACCCAACTTGATTTCAGGGCACCTTTTCGACTTTCCTCTTCCTTTTTGAACAAGAGCCCCCAAATACTCATCTCGAAACCGCTTCCGAATATCTTCTCGCAATTGTTGTCGGTAGCGATATCTCTTGTTGAAGAAGTTGGCCTCCAAATCATCAACTTCTGGTAGTCCATAACTTCTCATCTCATTCAAAAACAATGCGGGTGTGAGAGGGGCCAAATCCTCCGGATCATCAGACAGGTAGGTGAGAGGACGCGAATTGATGATTTCTTCACAATCACATAGCACGGTCATCAATTCTTCATAATCCAAACTTGCTCGTCCCAACACCTTCCGAAGTAGGACCTTCACCATCCCGACAACTCGCTCCCACCATCCACCCCACCACGGTCCTGCTGGCGGATTAAACTTCCACTTAATTTGATTGACTGATGTGGTGGTGGTAATCTCGTTCCAATCCAATTTTGCAAAAGCATTGTTTGCACCCTCAAAATTTGTCCCGTTGTCCGAGAAAATTACAGACGGACGACCACGATGGGATACAAATCTTCTTAAACTCTGAAGAAACGCCTCCGTTGACAACGACGTCACCAACTCCAAATGTACGGCTCGGTAGACGGCACAGGTAAATACGACGAACCAAGCCTTCTGTCCTCCTTTCAGATAAAGTGGTCCTCCCAAGTCGATACCAACAATTTCGAATACACCCGCATCTCGTACACGATCCAATGGGAGTGGCGCTTCCTGTGTGGTCACTTTCTTACTGGAAAATCTCTTACACTTCACACAGCCAGAGACAACCTTCTTCACTGCTTGTCTTGATTTCAGAATCCAAAATCTTTCTCTCAAAATGCTCATCAAGTATTGGATTCCACAATGATTTCTTGACTGATGCACATGCATAATTAGCATGTCGACTACTTGATGAGACGAAGGTAGTAATAAGGGGAGCTTGAATTCCATGGTGTCTGCTCTCCTCATAATTCGTGTCTCGACTCGTAACATTCCAAAGTCATCTTCAATCACATCCAATTGCTTGAGTACGAGGTCATTCTTACGGAAGGATGCACTTTGAATCAACTTGATCAATTTCAGCTCCGCATCCGCTTCCTCTTCACATGTCAGCGGTCCAGCAGGCTTAGGACTTGACTTAATGATCTACTTCCATCGAAGGATCCATGCCACCATCCTCACGGTTTTACGGTATGTTGAGAAATGGTCCAAATACCAAGGTCTTGTTGTTTCCAGAGCGAGGTGACTGACTACTGTCTTCTTCTTCTCCGCCATCACTACATTCAGATCACAATTCACTTCTGACCTCGGCCACTCTTCTGCAGGTTGTCTTAGTCAGACTGGTCCCTCCCACCATCTGAGGTCGACGAGTTTCGCTGCTCCGCACCCTCGAGATGGTAAGTCGGCAGGATTATGCACGCCAGGAACGTGCCTCCAGTCCGCCACGTTACTGTTCTTCCGTATCTCTAGGACTCGATTATTCACAAATGTTGCCCAATTCTCATTCTTATGAATCCAATATAACGAGCAACTTGAATCTGTCCAATAATTAATGGGGAGGTCTTCCGCCTCCAACATCGTCTTCACGGTGTTTCCCAACCCAAAAGTTCCAAACGAGGGATGGTCATCTTCTTTACTGAAGCCACGCGAGCTCTTGACATCACCAATTGCACATTAACTCCGTCGACTCCTTCACTTCTCATAAATACGCAAGAACTGTATTTGCTGGCATCTGAGAAGACATGAATACTTCGGCTAGTCGTCACATCTCGAAAAATACATCTGGGAATTTGAATCTTCTTTAACGCTGCTAATTCTGATCTCCACACGTCGAATCCTTTCTTCACTGAGTCAGGCACGCCCTCATCCCACCCGGTTTTCAGCATCCACAATTCCTGCAGTAATAATTTCGGCATTAGCGTGACGGGACTGCAGAAACCGAGAGGATCGTAAATAGAATTGGCGGCTGACAGAATCTTCCGTTTGGTAAGAACTCCGTCGAGTTCTTCATCTTTTACGTCAAGTGAGATGCAATCTGATTCTAAATTCCAGAATCCAAGCACTGGTGTGATCCGAACATCATCCGAATATTCTGGTTCTCCACTCCAAATCCAGCCTCTTAAATCAAATCTTCCTTGTTCCATTATAGCAGTGGATTTTCGCACAAATTTCTGCAACTCTTCTTTATCATCTAAGCTGGCGATACAGTTATCCACATACAAAGACTTCTTTAAAAGTTGAGCGACCTCACGATCTCCTTCTCCAGCACTATCCAAATGGTGGTTGATAGTTGACGCCAACAAGAACGGACTGGATGACACTCCAAAAACAACACGGCAGTGTCGAAATACCTCCACCTTCTTCGTTGCAAAGTCCTCCCACCATAGGATTCTTAGGAAATTCCGGTCCTCTCTTCTCACTGATATCTGCAGAAAAGCCTTCTTCACATCCGAGACTACTCCGTACCGTTTTGCTCTGAATCTCGTTAATACGGACGGAATCAGCTCGATTAGGTTCTCCCCTTTCTCCAAGCAATCATTTAATGAGGGGAAGTTGCTCGTCTTTGCAGACGCATCAAACACTGGGCGAGTGGGAGTGGTCGTACTACTCGGCTTAAACACGGGTCTGTGGGGCAGGTAGCTTCCTACACTTTCAATTTCATCTTCTGGTACCCGTTTAATTACGCCACTCTCCAGCCATTCATCAAAAATCTTCTGATATTCTTTCATCTTATTGGCACTTAATAGCTTGTTGGTCGCGGACTGAAGTCTCCGTTCTGCTAGCAGACGATTCTCTGAAACGGGCTTGTGACCCTCAATCCATGGCAAAGCGACCTCGTATCGATTCTGGCTATTAATCTTCACATTTTCGTTAAAGTGTGTTGAGGCTGATTCCATGAGTTCTTCTCTTGTTTTGGTTTCGCAGGGATCCTTAATTCCAATCACATCCAGCTTCCATAACGCCTGGATATCTAAGTCCCCAACATGCAGTGATGTAGCAATGAGTGAATTTCCATCTTGACCCATTTTCGTTGACTTGTTCTTCCCCATGAGTGTCCATCCTAATCTCGTCTCAATTGCTACTGATCCACTCGAAGTCCTATATAAATTTCCAGTCAACAAATCTCCAGCTACATCCGCACCAATTAACACATGAATGTCTCTCAGCTCATCATCCACGTCAACATCAGTCAGCTCAATACCTGCACCTTTTAACTCTTTTACCCATGGTCCTTGTGGTACTCTCGAAATCTTGCCACATATCTTCTCTTGATGTAAGACCATGATTTTGCAGTGAAACTGACGATCCTTACTTTGCAGAGCAATCTCAAATAACTTGTGGCGCTGCTCATCTGTCTGTTGTCCCCCAAATAAGGAATGCATAACCTTCTTCTCTCCAATCGGCTTGAATCCCAAAACTTGAACTGCTTTCTTGGACACGTACGACCTCTGCGACCCGGTATCAATCACGGCACGAACCGGTCTCTCTTCATTCTTCGCTTTGTTGCTGATTCGTATTTCCAGCGTCTGCAGCATTACGTCGTGATGACTGTAATTTGACATTGAGGTGTCCGCACTTGCACTCTCACTCGTAGCAGATTCCACTTTATTCTTTGGGTTCTCGGGGCACATTGTGGCCTGATGCAAACGCCCACACAAAAGACACTTCACTTTAGACTTGCACGATTTCGAAATATGTCCAACTCTCAAACAGATGAAACAGGCTCTCTTTTCTTGAACTTTCGTTTTCTTGCTATCGAGACTCATCTTTGCTGCTTGATAACAATCTTGACTATTGTGCTTCTTTTCACAAAATATGCATGTTTTCTGGGCAGGCGAATCTCCATTATACAACTCAGCTGCTGTAGAGACTGGATATGATTTCTCCGACCAATTCTTTTCTCTCTTTGAAGAAGCATTTCCAAATCCAGATTGCGCCATCTTGATTCGGACGTCACTTTCCACCTCGACTCCATTCTAGAAATTCCATCAAATGAGAAAGACGGTTCACCTGCTCTTCTTTGCTCTTCTGGCGACTTCTCTCCCAAATCCTCAGCATGTCCTCTGGTAATGACGACTCCACCAACGGGAACAACATGGCCGCATACTTATCACTAGTCACTCCTGATGACTCTAAAGCTCGTAACTGAGTTTCCAACTTATCGTACAGCACTGAAATAGAGACTCCTTTCTTTGACACATTGCCCAGCACTAGGCTCAACAAATCACGCACATAAACTTCGATAAGGATTTCATCACGTCCAAATCGACTTCTCAAACTTTCGATCACTTTAGGATAGTTCTCAGCAGTAGGAGGATAACTACCAACAATAGCTCTCGCTCTCGAATTATCCGTGGTGGCTTGACACAAGTACTGGAACTTTTCTTCTGGTGACATTGACTCGTTCTCATGAATACTCTTAAACTGTCCCCAGAAGCTTAGCCACTCTCTCGGATCCCCTCCATACTTCTTGAACTCCAACTTTGGTAGCCTTATCTTCGACTTGGATTTGCTGCTACCACTACTTGACGCCTCGGACGTTTCTTCTTCCTCCATCACTTCCTTCAGTCTGATATTGACATCCGTGAACTTTTCTTTATATTCGACAACCGACGCATATTCCGATGCAAATTCCTCTGCTGTGGTGTCCCCGGCCTTCAACAACGCCTCCTCGACCTCATCATTCACTTGTAGGAGCTTGCTATGATGACCCTCTAACCGCAACGCGAGCTGCTGTAGAATCGTCCCGTCTGGTTCTTCCTTATCAAGTTCCGTTGTCAACTCGGTGATGGCCTTCGTGAACGCCGTCCGAATCGGTCCTCGCTGAGTCTTGTACGCACTCATTGTCACTTATCCTTCGGTTTGATTAGTGCACTTATCACTTAAAGTCACTATCCTGTAGACTGCGCCAAATGTTGTGAACGATCGGTTCGTTTCTGATAAATGACCAATGAGATTGTTAACACAGGACTCAAGTACAATTATAAGGGGTTTATTATAATGCACAAATATCAAAATGACCCACAAATAATTGTTATTTAATACTTTAATTGTACTAAACTCACTAGACTTCTACTACAACAGACAGACAAAAGAGAAGTGAGGCTACACTAAAAGGCTCCACTCCAACTCACGAATTCCACGAGGCATTAATTCACATTTAAGACATAGATGCCTCCCACGACTCTAAAACTAAGAAATAACCAACATTTCTGACAGGTGACACTGGTCGCCGCGGGGGCACAATTTGCGGACGGAAGTTTGACCGCCGTTTGAAGTCGAACTGTTTCCTATTATGCATAAAATTTTAAGAAATTACATTAGTTAGGTCGTCCAAAAAATATTATACACGAAGTTTGCAACAATTCAAACGCTCAAAAAATTAATAATTTGACGAATAAAAATGATTATTATTTTGCTGGTAACAATGCGTTGGTATCAAGTGTAACCCTCCGATTTGGTTGAAATTTTGAAATTATGTCAATACAACCAACGTCTCTTCCGGCATTTTGTGCGCTGGTCAGAATTTACCAAAATTTTTTAGGTCAAAGTTGAAAAACGGGTGATTTTTACCAGGCGGAGTAACCAAACTCAACTTCCATTCTCTTCCCGTGCTAAAAATCGCATGTTTTTCAACTTTACGTTCAAAATGTTTGGCAAATTCTGACCATCGCACAAAATGCCGGAAGAAACGTTGGTTGTATTGACATAATTTCAAAATTTCAACCAAATCGGAGGGTTACACTTGACACCAACGCATTGTAATTATTTTTGCGATCAGTTACGTACCTTAGTCGGATCCATTGTGCGATTCAGCGTTTTAAATTAATGATTTGTAGATAAAGCGGGGAAATCTCCAGGAGCGGTGTCGAGACGATGCTGCGGGCTTGACTTCCAAATTGTCACTGGGGCGAGGATCGTACGAGAACGTTGCACAGTGGTCCGGATTACCTTATTTGTTTGCCAAAACCTCTAGCTCTCCAACCATTCCATTTTTTCGAATTCTGCCTTCGGGGATCGAGATATGAAGTTCCATGGGGCATAAGTAATGCAACTTTAATTAACCACCACCCCCTCTTGGGGGTGTGGTCACAGGTCAATATTTATTTTCTCGAATTACCCCATCAAGTGGGGTGTCATTTGAAAGGTCTAACCAAGCTCTAAACAACTCAGACTATTATTAGGTCATTATCGGCACACCCACCGTCAGGGGGTGTGGTCAAAATCCGAATTTGAAAGTTGTGTTTCGATCATTTTGAAGTTGTATTTTCATGAAATGACAATATTCTATAGTTTTATTAAGTATTTCTGCCCTCTAAATTAATTAACAAAGAAAATAGGGCCAAAATTATAAATTTAGTGATGCCTCCTCAGGGGGCCACCAATTCCTAAAATTCCCCCCACTTGTAATGAATTTTTTAGAATTGTGTGTTTTATCATATTTCCTTCCCCAAGGAATGTGCAAGATATTTTGAAGCGAATGTGTTATTTGGAACACTCGAAAATTTCATACGTGACAATGATTGGAGCACTCCAGATATTTTGCTTATGGCAATTTGCAATTATATAAATTCAAATTTCTCTGTCTATTTGCAATAGGTGCAGCTGGGTGGAGCAGTTTTTGTACCTGAGATATGGGGGATTAATAATATATTTACGGTTCCTCGAAATCCCGCAGGACTAGACAGGATTTTCAACTTGAAGTTTTTCCCATTTAGCCCAATGTTAAAGGCCAAGTTGAGGCATACGCCACGCTATAACCACTTGAACAATTCAAATGAAATTTTCCAAAATTCAACATCTATGTCAAAGGTACAAAAGACGGTACTTTGTTTTCGGATCTGTGAGGATAGGTTTTGGCCAGCAAATTGAGTATTCCGGACCAGCGTGCGTTGGTTGCATTAAAGAGCGGGAGGGGCTTGGCATGAGGCCAGACAAACAAACCGTCCTCAGGCCTGGCTCGTTTCCTACTGATTGGAAAATATGTACGCGTCCTAGATTGATTTGAATTTCAGTCTGCTCGTTATGCTAATCAAGTGGGCACGTGTTTTTGACGGGTAGAAATTCCATGACGCTTAAATATTTTCCAATCAATAGTTTCGTTCAAGCTGTCTCGCACATTTTTGGAAGATACGCGCAGGCGCAGCTGGAGACAGGAGTGTCTTTTGGGGGGCACATAATAGATATTTGGCCCTAGCGGGAGGATGCTAATAAAATTTTGGGGTATGTTGGACTGGACTACCTAGCGGTCAGCGGGAATAATGGCGAACATAATTGTTTGAGGAATTATGTATGTATTTATGTAATTGGTTCGCTCTATTGCTACATTTTTAATGAATATGTTTGTAAACATTCATCACATACAGGGTAAGGAAAACCCCGGGGTTTTACCTGGGTTATGCGGGTAGTCGGGGTACTCGGGGTAGTCGGGGTTTGGGGACCAACTGAGTCAGTGGCTCATGTACGTATTAAGTTTAGAAATTAATGAAAAAACTCAGTTTTTCAGGAATGTCGCAACAAAATTGCTTATTAATTGTATTTTAATAAGTAATTACTTTGTTGAATTGCTAGTAATACCCTGTTATCTTATTTTTTTAAATTTGAAAACCACGACTACCCGAGGGTATTACTCAAATTTGCTACCCAAAACCCACCAAAACCCGCAATACCCCAAAAACCCGGGGGTAGCATACCCGGATCACATATGTATGTAAATAAGTATATCTCGAATATATGTGTACGAGTTTTCACTTTCGCCAAATGTGAACAATAATTTCGCCATTTAGTACTTTCATGACAATTTTTTACCACACTGGCGAAAACAAAATTTTCGCCAAACTGGCTTTCGCCAAACTGACCGTCAATCGGATGACAGGTCCAAATTGTTCCAAGAGATTAATTTCAATTAAATAGATAATCATTACTTAATTTGTGTTCGTGTAATTACCAAGTTCTGATTGCCTTGTTTCTTCGAGGTTTAGTTCATTTCTTGCCTATTTACTTAACCCTTAACCTCTGCCATTGGGAGTTGGTTTTTCAAATTTTTTGATGGCTTTGTCATCCTTGGGTTTGCAAATTTTACAGTAAAGATTGTCCAGTAAAGATTGGCCAATGAATTTAACACCATTAGTCAGCAAGGGGGAGGGGGAGGGGGTTAAAATATGCTTAAAATCGATCACGTGATTTATGTACGCTCCCTACGTCGCACCTAGCATTTCTTGCAGTCAAAGTATGAAATTCCAAAAAAAAAATTCATGGTTACTCTGCATATCCACAATTTACATACCATATGTAAATTTACACATATATGCAAATATGTATCTATGTATGTATGCATACCTCATGTGAGACTGCATGTGCCTACATATGTAAATAAAATTCATGCGACGCAGCGGAGACAAAGCGTGGTGGTCGTACTTATGGCCCTTAAGGCACAAATTGGAACTTAACCTTCCCTTCCTTTCACTTTGCACGGATTTTGTTCGACGATATTTTGCGTGCTAATTAATAAACACGAATTAACATAATTACTCGAGTAGAGTCCTTCCAAATAGTGTTTGACAAGTACGTTCTTCATGTCTGACGGGGCAATAATTTCAAATGTGAGTGTTTTTTCTTGAACTTAAGAAATTATAAGCAAATTACTATATTAAAATAATGTAAATTGCATTATGTGGATAATTTTTTTCTACCAATATTTAAGGGAAATGAGTCGAACAATGGTTCCCTTGAGTACGTCGCTGACGAGACCGAGGCTCCCACCATCTTCATTTCAGTGGTAAAATTATTCAGTTAATTGTGACAAGCTGTCACTAATTACCAATTAACGTAGGACGCAATGAATCATCACTAAAATAAAGAATTTTAAATCGTTTTTTGCTCGGGGAATTTATTTTAAAGTTCTAGACGATAAATTGTGGAGCAGAGCGTTTCCAATTTTTGAGAAGTGTAAACTCCAAATTTTGACACTTCTTGAAGGAGAAGGCCTCAAGGTTAAGAAACCTTCAGAAAAATTGGAAGTCATCGAAACTTGCTTAAAAAGGTCAAATTTGAGTACAAATTTGTGGTTCATAATTTTAAAATAAATTTCCTGAGGCTTAAAAATGTCTTGACTTCGTAATGAGTCAAGGTGCTCTGAATAATCGCCACGTTAATCTAACGTTTTTCAGATTATTCGCCACCTCTGCAAATTTCTAAGCACTCCCCAAATTAAAGAATGTCGGCTAATTTGCTCCTCTTGGAATTTTGGAGCTACCCCCGCTCTCAAGGCGAGGACAAGGACGACTCTCCGCCTCTACCCGGGGGAAGCCTGGGGGGCCTGGAATATTTGGGGGGATGTGGTTGACAAGCTAAAATTCAGCGCGATCCACGTCCACCTAACGGTTCCTGCCCCCCATTCGTACAATTTACCCCCCGTGGATTTATCAATATTCCCCCTGATTAGCACAATTAGATCGATCAGTGTCAATTATCTGCCAGGGGAACAGTTCAACTGGGTGAGGGAATTGTGCAAAAATATTATCGTTGCTTCGGCAAGTAGTTTGCAAGACCTAAATTTTGAGTGGGAACAACCCGACCCAGATTTTCCCGGACTAGAAGGCACCCTTTTCGCGAAATTGCACAAATTGGGGTTAAATTTCAAGCGGAATAAGGTTCTCGGAAGGAGTGACGTGGTGGAGCGGATTGGTCGCGCGATTGCGGAATCCTGCCCGAAATTGGTTACTCTGGAGACCACGTGTGCACACTTGTGTGAGATGGGAAGGGTCGGGGTGATGCTGAATTTTCCGGGGTGAGGGGACCATTTTGTAATATTTGGGGTAAAGTAAAGGGGGATGAATTGAGGG